CAGTAAGGATTTTGATACAACTAAGATAGGCCGGAAGTAAAGAATGAAGATTCCTTTCCGCCACCTGCACAGGAAGCTGCTGAGGGAGAATGTACTGATTCGGAAAAAATGTGATGGTGCTAGGCGCTCCCACGCTGGAGATGGCTGCCCCACCCGCCAAAGGGAAATGAGCCCAACACAGGAACCATTTCGATTGGGTTGAAATCTCTTCCTTGTAAAACACACTAAAATTCTACTGTGAATTTTATCTACCACCTCTTAAACTTGGAAAAGAGCAACTGAGCCCCGTGAGCCATCATCATACCTTTATTCACCGAACAATCCAAGAACACTCAAATAATCCTACATCGGGCCTCCTTGGTGGTGCAAGGGGTTAAGACGCAACCTATGAAGCTGTCCACAGCCTCTGCAGCACGAGTTCGATCTCTAGCCAGGGAGCTACCCACATGGCGCAGCAGACCTCTCCTTTCTCCCCGCTGTTCCCCTCAGCAGTGTGTTTCAGTCAATCTACCTGTTCTGTTCCCCGCTCTGTAGCGGGCTTGTACCCCAGTTCTTGTATGCATAAATAAATCTTTAAAAAAATAATAACCCTACATCTCTGAACTTTCCTGCTCATCCGTGGTTCCCACTCATGCTAAATTCTCCTTGTTTTCTCTCACGGAGTTGCTGTTAGAATGAGACTTCTCTTTGCAATTTAGCTGACTGAGATGAGCGCCTTATTCCACAGAAAACAGCATATCAGGTGAATTTTCCCATAAAAATCTCCATTTGAAGTGTTCTCAGGAAGACATGAAAAGAAAATCAAACCCTGCTCTCATCTGTAGCCGAAAACGGGGGGCAGACTGGGGAGACAAGAAAGTACAGAATGGGTCTGGAATAACTAGGTTTAACTCTTCACTCTGTCAGTTATCAGTTGTTGAAAAGCTAGGAAATAGTGAGTGGCAAGACAAAGGTAATTTCTCTCTTTTTCCAAGTAAGAAGTCACTTCAAATCGGTGAGGGGGAACAAAACACAAATGTCACAAGCTCTACAATGGATGAAATAAGGGGATTTCAAAAGCCATTTCCAAAAAATGCAGATTTTCAGAAGGAAAACCCTAGGAGCACCAGCTGGACTGGCCCTCAGCAAGTTGGACCCCGAGACCTCGAGGCAGGGGTGTGCTGTAGTGAGGCGGGCAGGTGGCTATGTAGAGCTGCCGGGTGTGAATGGGGAGGCCCTGAAACAGGGGTTGTTCAAAAGTCTGTGTAAGAGGTGCCACCCTCCCGGTCAGGGTGGACAGAAGGTCAAGGGATCCAGGAGAAAAGAAAGAAGAGAGGGCAGTTAAAAGACCTCACAAATTGCGCCCTGGGGGAAGCGGTGTGAGAGGAGTCCAGGACACCACTGGAGGTGTGTGGGGAGAGTGGCGGAGCTATTTCCAGCAAACCAAACTGAACAAAGGAAAAGTTGAAGCATTTACCAACTCAAAGAAAAATAAAATTAAGTTCAGCACCAAAAAATCTCCACAATCTAAACCCCGCCCCCCCCCCCAACTTGGCTCAGCTGTAACATTACTGACATTCACACTGAGTGGAAAGTGTTCGACTGGCCCTGCCAGAGCCCTGCACTGGTAATGACACGGGAAGGGTAGGCATGGGGACTGGGGCAGATGCGCCTCCTCCATCCCCTCCAGTCAGGCCTCAGAGGGCCACAGCCGTGGGGGAGCAGCTGCAGGTGGGCCTCGCATCTCTCCTGGCAGGCAGGAAGCTGGCAGGAGACAAAAGGCACCCAGAAGTGCCACACATAGAAGGGCAGGTCTTCTCCAGGAAGGGAGGCCCCCAAGGCCCTCAGGGTGGCCATGGCAAAGAGGAGTACCTGCTCCCTCAGGATACCAGTGACAGGCAAGAGCCAGGCCTCACCAGAGAAGAATAAGGGGACAAGGGAATGGCAGAGGCCACACTGGGAGATATCTGAACCCCACCACTGCCCTCGCCCACCCCGGTCCTCCCCCCAGCCCCAGGAACACCACAGGTCATCCAGGGGGCCAAAAGGTCAGCATCCACAGAGCAGGAGTCAAGGGCTGAGCCACGCCCTTTCGAGGTGGAGGTGTTCTGGGCACAACCACGGCCCCATCACCACCAGCATCGCTGGGAGGGTCCCTGAGAGATGGCCCCTGAAAGTCAGGGCCAAACCCCGCACCCTAACTGCACTGGAGGCGATGGTGCCTCTGTGTCTGCTCACACCACACCCTCCCTAGGGCCGTGGGATCTCTCGCCATGTCACTGGTGGGCACGCCGGCAGGGTGCATCCCCAGGCTCCACGGGGACCCCCTCCCTACCACCCATGGAAATAGCTGGGAGCGCATGACCCACTGACCACGACAAGATGTCACAAGAACTAACTGAGGCCCGAGGATTAGGGCCACGGGAGCAAAGCTCTCAGCCCACCCAGGGCCCAGAAGGCAAAGAGACCAGACTGGGGCAGTGGGGAGGTGGCGGGCAGTCTGCTCAGAACACACGCCTGGCCTTCACCAGGACTGTTCCGATTTGAAAAACAGAAACTTCCCTGGATCCCCTCACTCCTCTCAGTGCTGAGCACAGGCCCAACTTAATAGCACAGGGCTGAAAAAATAAACCAGAATGTAGAAAGTCTCAGACGTTTGCATGACAAGTTGGTTTGTCCCAGGTGCCAACTGTGGCCTCCTTTCTCAGGAACTCTGGAACAGTCAGGACAGCCACTCACTGCTCAGCCGCTGCCTATTTACAGGACGTGTGCACATTCGCCCCACTGCGGAGGACCTTTCATCCCACCCGCAACTAACAGGCACCAGGTGAACAGGAGGGTGGCGGGTACATGCATTAACCAGATGGGGGAGTCTTTCTCCACGAGTAGATGGGAGAGGGGTGGGAGAGTAGGTGGGATGGACGGATGGCTGGATGGAAGACGGACATAAGGAGGTAAAACCATCACAGTATATACTTTCAATATTACAGTTCTAAGTCAATAAACCTCTTTTTTTTTTAATTTTTGAAGAATAACAAATACCACACAAGTCTCTGTGCTTTGTTTTCGGGTCAGTACAGAAGTGGTCACAGTGACACTGCATTCCCCCCTAATAACCAAGCCCAGGATTAGAACTCATGCAATGAAACAATGCCCAATTCCCAGGCATGGCTTGAAGTTGCCAACTCGAAGGTAGTTCCCGTGTGACGAGGAGAGGCAGAGGAGACTCAGGACAGCACAGCTTATGCCCCATCCCAAAAACTACCCAAAAAGAGAATAATGGAGGTGAACCCAGGGCTGTTAAATCCATTGTAGGAGCAACAGGGCAAAAGCTTAATGAACTTGTACTTTGTAACTAACATCTGAAAGTGTGAGAAGTGACCAAGCCAGCTGGGGGGAGGCAGGTCCACTAGAGGGACCTCACCTGCAGTCTGTCAGCAGCATTCCAGGGAGCGGGGAGCCCTGCAGGGAAGCACCCTGGCTGGGTGCCTCAGCCCAGCACCCTCACACGCACTGGCAGCAGCGTGGCAGAGCTGGGGCCAGGCCCCAAAATGGGAAATGCAGACTCTGCCCACCAAGAGACATGGGAGCATCCACCCCTTTAAATTAAGACTATCTTCAGCCAAACTTGAATCAAGCTTTGGATTAACCAGAGGGAAACCTCCCGGAAATGAGGCTAAATGGGAAGTCACTGCGAGGCAGATCTGTTGTCCCTGTTAAATTAAGTTTATATTTCAGGATAATGGCCCAATTCACATTTTTCACATTATTGCAAATATTTATCAAGGACCTATTATGTACCATGAACTAGACCAGAGAGCAGAGGGAGCCATTCACGACACACAGCTGCACCATCCTTGAGAAACTCCCCTACCAGGAATTGACCTCCCCAGACACTAAAACAATAGTGATCACACGAGCACCTAAGCGGGGCACAGCAAGGAAACGTGTAACAGATTACCAGGCAGGGCCCTCCCCGCCCCATCCCGGTGGCTCAGGGGTTAAGTCTCAGCACTATGAAGCAATGGGCAGCCACTGCAGCACAAGTTCCGTCCCCAGCCAGGGAGCTGACCGATAAGGCACAGCAGACGTCTCCTGTTTCCCCACTGCTCCCCTCAGCAGTGGATTTCAGTGGATCCACCTGTTCTGCTTCCCACTCTGTCTCTGGTGAGTCCTCTCACCTCCCCCCGCACACCTCTGACCTGCACCCCGGTTCTTGTATGCATAAATAAATCTTTTATTAAAAAAAAAAAAAAAAGGCCACCCAGCAACACAACATCAGCCATTTGGTAAATGCACCATCACCTTCCCTCATGCAATGCACCAGGGCTGCCAAGCGGACCAAGAGCGTGAGTGGCCTTCCCTGGAGAAAGGACTGACAGGCGGATGAAAAATTTATGCAAGAGTGCCACAGAGCCTTGGTGCTGCCCGTCCCCCCACAGCTGCCCCAAAAGAGCAAGAGCCATCACCCAGGGCCGTCCACCACCCTGCACCTCATGAGAAGAGCTCACCGCCGCCTCTCACAACAGGAAGTGCACCTTGGCCACACTCTGCCATTCAGGCATCGGATTCCGGCTCAGAGGGCTCCCGAGGATGAAACAGGCGATATGAGGACAGCCCTTGAAGACTGGGTCTTGCCCACTTAAGTAAGGAGGAGGGGAGAGGACAGCGGCACTGATGGTGACGCGTCGTCAGGGCATGGATGTCCTGAGCATGTGTTATGTGTCTCTCCCTGTGCTGAGCAGTTTTGATTCATTATGTCGTACAGCCTTGTAGGGTAGGTACAGGATTTATGCCCACTTTACAGATGAGGAAACTGAGGCTGAGGGGGCTCTATGGAGCCACATGCAGGTGCTCACCTATGCCCCCCCTCAGCTGCCAAGGCTGCATGAGTACCATCACCCCAAAGGGCAGGAACCCACCTTCCATTTCTCATCTCCACAATTCAGGAGTGACTGCATTTGGGGACCCCACTTCTCAATCTCCATCCAGCTGACCCCTGCTGGGGTTTCAGAACTCACCTGAACACACCTTCCTACCAAACTCGGCCAGCTTGTCCCTCCTGAGGCTCCAGTCCTCTCTCTGAATTTACTCAGCGCTGGGCATGGAGCCCCTCTCACAGTCCCTCTCTCACTGTCCGTCAGGGGCAACCCAAGGTCATGGACCATGTCACAGTCAGTCCCGGAGCTCCAGAACCTGGGTGATCGATCACTTGTGCACGAATCCAGTTGACAGCTTGAACAAAAAAAGAGGGAAGAGCACTGAAGCTAAGGGCTTATTCCAGAACAGTCTCTGGAGTCAGAGATAATCAGAGTTCAAGTTCTAAGCCCATTTCTTAGGAACTCGACCAGAAGACCTAACCACTCGACACTCCAGGGCCCCCTCTGTGAAATGGAGTTAACATAAACAGAACTGGACTCCAGCACTCGGCATGGAAAGAGACACGTGGATGTGTTCACATGCCCTCGAGGCAAAGGTTTTGCCCTGGGCACCCAGATTCCCCCTCCCCTCCCACCTCAAAGCACCAAGGAGTAGCAAAGTTATTCCTCCCCAGATTAGCTGGAGGGTGGGAGGCTCACGTCTATAACCAGCCTGGTCCTTTCCAGAGCTAAACACTAAGGGTCATTTAGGTTTTTCAGTAAAATGTTAGAGGGAGGGCCTCCCTGGTGGTACAAGGGGTTAAGACGCAACCTATGAAGCTATCCGCAGCCACTGCAGCACGAGTTCGATCCTGGGCCAGGGAGATACATGGCGCAGACCTCTCCTAACTCGCCTGCTGCTCCCCTCAGCAGTGTGTTTCAGTCAATCAGCCTGTTCTGCTCCCCACTCTATCTCTGGTGAATCCTCTCACCCCATATCTCTGGCCTGTACCCCAGCAGTTCTTGTATGTATAAATAAATAAATCTTAACCAAAAAAAAGTCAGAGGGAGAAGAACGTCTCCCACATAGCCTTCAAAGCAGACTTCTCTCCCAAGATAAGCATTTTCCTGGAACCATGACCTAGCTCAGAAGAAAGCAATCGAGTTGCTACTGTAAATATTTATCTTTGAGGGAGCCCCGTTAGTTACTGTATCACACCGATCACTAGATTAAAACCTCAGTCATTCCGGGCCATATTTATCAAAACATCCTTGGCCCCAAATCAGACAATAGCAGCACTTCCTGTTTGGTGGAGATAAATGCCAGCACCTTCTACGGTGTCAGAATCCAGCTCCATGGTGTTACTCAGAGCAGAAGGATTTGCTTCATATGCTATGACTTGATGCTCAGTGGAAGGGCTGATTTTAAAATCACAGGTTTAATAGGTTTTAACTGTGGTTTTAACAATCTATGGACGTCATGACGGCAATTACGGAGGACGGGGGCTGGAGCAACAGCAGCTTCGAATGTCCCCAGTTGCCAGGAACTGACCTCAGGGGGCCGGCCCTGCACGGGGGCCACCCCGGCTGGCCTGGGTCACTGTCCTGACCAAGCCCACCTCCCCTCCCCGCCAGGGTCACAGTGATGCTGGAACCCAGAAAGTTTTGGAAAGCGCCGACAGGCTGAGAGGGACCCCCGAGTTAGCTGAGTCCCTGCAGAGCAGACAGTGTTTCTCTCATATCCTCCACGGCCCCCCAGTGCATGCTTATCCACAACACAAGATCTTAGTGTAAAAGCCCAGAACATTAGATACTACTCGGCTACAAAGATGACACAGTGCCTTTTGTGACAAAAGGGATGGAAACTGAGACACTGCTCAGTGGACCGAGTCCGAAAGTGAAAGCTGTTTATGAAACACAAACAAGCAGACAAATTAGTGGATCACAACAAAACAACTCCTAGGACTCTGAAAAATACAGTGGTGGCCAGAAAGGGGAGATGGGGCAGGGCCAAGGGGGCAGCCTGGGGGGGGGGTGCACTGGGGCTTTGGGGGCGAGGCAGGGAGGCTGCTGCAGGCAGAATAAAGTCGTACCCCTCACATCTACCTCCCTTTGGCAATCAGTGTAAACTGCTTCTGGTTTATTAAATTAAAAAATAAGTCTTTCTCATAAAATAAAGCAATTTGCCATTTACACACGATTTTAATCGACCTGGAGGCACTGTGAGATCAGGACCCGTTTTATACACAAGCACATAAGGCACAAGGTCACAAGGTCACAGGCAGGGGATGGAGAGCGGTTAGCTGAGGAGGGCAGTGTGGGCGCAGGAGGGGCTCTTCAGAGTGAGCTCCATGGGCATCTGGCAGACAGAGCATCTCCTCTCCCGCCACACTCCCAGCACGTGACGCCAGCCCGGTGAATGGGGGTCCACCAGGACCCTAAGTGCCCCGGTGGCTTGTCCCCCAGCTCTCTCCCTTACCTTGCAGGCTACACCAGCGGTTCTGCCAGTGTCTGTGGGGCCAAACATGCCCCAGGCAAGGGGGTGGTGATTCCAGGCCCCCAAACTAGCCCACAGGCTGGCCCTGGGTGTCCCCTCTTCACCTGTCAGTCCACCTGCTCAAGGGGCACCCTCCACCACCTTCCGTTGTCATCTGACTCTGAGGAGTCAGAGCTGCGCATGTTTCTGCTGGAGCGGAAGGAAAAGCCAGGACCCTTGTCACACAACAGGATGAGCGGGGGAACAACCAGAGCTCGCAAATGCCTGGGGGCTCAAGGAAGAATGGCCGCTGCAGACATTTCTAGGGCCAAGAGCAGTGGACACTAGAGTAGAAGGGACACTAGGGGGAGGATGATGTTTCTTGACAAGATTCAAGGAACAAGGAATGAGTGAGGTATAATTAGCAACACCAGCCACGTGCCCTCATCACCACAAGCGAGCTTAAGCAAGAGATGCCTGCAAGAGCTGGAATTCCTCTTGCCCAGCTCATGAAACTAAACAGGTCGTGGAGATGACTTGACAACTGGTGCTGGGTCTGGCAGCGACTGTCTGAGGACAGGGACCAGCACTGGGACTAAGGAGGACTCACTCATCACCTTAGTCTCGTCAGGGTTGGAGACACACGCAATCACTCACTGGGACCACAAATTAAAAATCCTGAACCTACTGTAATTCAAGAGCTTAGGTTTTGAAATAACCATGTCCCAAAGTCCTGAATTTAAATGCTGAGTTTGAGTTATAACCCAACTACCAAATCTCAGGCAAACTATCCTCTCTGAGCCTCAGTTTCCTGATCTGTAAGATGAAAATAATTGTAACTACACTTTATGGAATCATTAGAAAGATTAAATGAGGTAATGCAAGTAAAAGAGTTACTAGAGTAACTGACTAATGAAGAAATACCAGCAGATTTTCTCATTAAAGCTACTACAACTTGAGGAAAGATGGTGAAAACATCATCCTCAAGGAATAGGCATATTTACAAAGTGATACTAAAAGCTAACATTTAGTTAGGGCCTTCTAAAAAACAAAGTTAAAGAGAGAAATCAGAATTAAAGTATAAAAAAGTCTGCAGTAATTCAAAAGAATCTAAATAAGAAATAACATGCCAACAATCCAGGAGAAAATGTATCTGAATAAAGCTAGAGTTATCAAATTAAGATGAGCAGGAAAAAGCCTTTAGAAATAGTGATCATGTGCTATTTTTCACACCCACAGATAAACAACACTTCATGTTTCTTTTCTAAACATAAAAATAAAACTGGCATTCTTGGTCCTGAGATTAGAATGTACTCAGTAATTTTCCATTTCACATCTGAGCTCACAGATTTAGAAATGTGCTTCAGTTCTTAACAAAACTGTGTGTACTCTGAAGTCTTGATTGCAGCAGTGTAACTGGGTCCCAGAGGACTGACGGGCCAGGTATTCAAGAGGAAATATGGAATAACAGTGTGCAGAGTGCTCTGGCACAGAAGGTCAAGCTGCAGAATGTACTTTATAAACGTAACAGGATAGGCTGGAAGCAGCAAGGCTTCACCCAGCCCTGCCTGGGGAGCTCAGCCCAGGTCAGCAGGTCAGGGAATTCCAGCTCCAGCACTGACACCATGTAGGACCCACCCTGGGATGTTGGACCCTTGGGGAGAGTCGGTTGTTATGGCCTGTTCAGCTCCCCATCCTTCAAATACACCAGCATCACTGGTTTAAGCAATGTCTTCATTTTCATAGAGAACATTACACAGAAGAGCAGACCTGACTGGATGAAAGCCTGGGACTCCGAAGGTGACAAGGAACACAGTTTAAAAAGACCTAAACTGAGAACTGAAGATCTGAAATCCCTGAAAAATAACTGATCTCGAATTTGTACATTTCGCCACTCTGTTTGAACTTAATGGCCTATTATACAGAACTGCTTTGGACAATCATAAAAATCCTAAGCAAAAATACACTCATTTGTATGACTGAAGCACAAGGAAAAGGTGTAGTAAAAGCTAACCCTTCAATTTAGCTCAGTCTAAGTGTAAGAAAACAAAATTAGGAATAGTAATTCAAAAAAATCTCTACACCCCCACATTTGCTGCAGTATTACTTAAAATAGCTGAGGAAGGGAACAACCTAAATATTTATCAGTGGATAAAGGAAATTGTCATGTACATGTAAAGGAATATTATATAGCCATAACAGAATAAGTCTTGCCATTTTCAACATCACAGATGGACTGCGAGGGCCAGATGCTAAGTGAAATAAGTCAGAGAAAAAAAAATACCACATGCTCTCTTACACGTAGAATCTAAAAACAAAAAAATAAAGTTTATACATGAAGACTGGTGGTTTCCAGAACAATGGATGAAGGGAGTCAAAGAGAAAAAAATTGGACCTCCCTGGTGGCACAAGGGGTTAAGATGCAATCTATGAAGCTATCCACAGCCAAAGCATCATGAGTTCGATTCCCGGCCAGGGAGCAACCCACACAGCGCAGCAGACTCTCCTGTCTCCGCATTGCTCCCCTCAGCAGTGGATTTCAGTGGATCTGCCTGTTCTGCTCTGTCTCTGAGACACTCTGTCTCTGGTAAATCTTTTCACCCCCCACACCACTGGCCTGTACCCCAGTTCTTGTATGCATGAATAAATAAATCTTTAAAATAAGAGAGAGAAAATTAAAGAGTAAAAAAGTTTTATTTTTTTAAAGATTTATTTATTCATGCATACAAGAACTGGGGTTCAGGCCAGAGGTGCAGGACATGAGAGGATTCAGCAGAGACATAGTGTGGAACAGAAGAGGTGGATCCACTGAAATCCACTGCTGAGGGGAGCAGCAGGAAGACAGGAGAGGTCTGCCGTGCCGTGTGGGTAGCTCCCTGGCCGGGGATCAAACCCATGTT